TTGTTACAGTTTTCCCATCTATCATTGCAGTGGTTTGATTAAAAGTTCAAAATTCAATGTTTAAATTTTAACCCAGTCCTTTTGTGTTGACTTCATGGCTCATTTTGTAGCATTTAAGCCTATAATAGGATGCCTAGTAACTGTTTTTTATTTTTATTTTTTTCGTCCCCGTCGCTTCATATTTTTCTGAAAAATCAGAGAACCAACAAATTAAATTGGTGTGGCCTAATGATAAATTGTGGTACAAAAGTGACCACCAAAACTGCAAATATAAAAGTACGAATATAAAGTGATTTACAGTTACTGTATTTCAGAAGCCTTAAACTGGGCCGCTGCCAAAATGATAAGTTAACTAAGTCTTGTGCGCCGGGCAACCTGGCAAAAATTAGGTTGCCCATCAGAATTTGAGGTTGCCCCACCTATAAGATATTACTTATGTTACATACATAAGCCTTTGACAATACATTTGTATATCTAACAGCATTTAGTTAACTGATACCAGTAATGCCCCGGCCCGAGGTGTATATAATAAATACAATTATAATATTAACTAGAAACTTAAGGTAACATTTGGAAAGCAAATGCATAATGTTTTGGTCTGCTCTGTTAATTCATACTCAAATGCATTCATTATAATGGTCGACGGGAGTATAAATGATTTAAATCCCTCCTACTATAAAATTGCAACATTATGTAGCCTAACACCAGTTACCATGGTGACAGACGTCTGGTTGATCAGCTCAGAACTCGAGGTCAGTGTTTGGAATGGAAGAAGAGGAAACTGAGCAAAAACAATATGTTTTCCTTCGGTAAATATAATGACACTGGTTCTTTCTTGTCTCCTCAGAATTGTCTGTGTAGGAGGAGATGGCATGTTCAGTGAGATCCTAAACGGTCTGATCGTCAGGACCCAGCAGGAGGCAGGTGTGGACAAGGACTGGCTGGCGGCCGAGCTGGTCAGACCTCACCTGCGCATCGGCATCATTCCTGCAGGTGGGTGGAAACACTTCTAGTTCTAGGTATACCCAATGCAGGCCACACCAATTTAATTTCTTGGTTAATGGATTTCTCAAGAAAAATAATGGAGCGGGCGGGCGAAAAAAAAATAAAAACAGGCCTAGGCATCCTATTATGGCCCAAAAGGTACGATAGGAGCCATGAAGTCAACACACCAGACTGGTTCAAAATTTAAACAAT